TTTCCATTCTTTACAATGACTGGGACTGTTCCCAAAGCAACATATTCTGTTTCCTGTCCTCGAGTTGCTCCATATGTCTTTCGTTGGTCATCCCCCTCCGTATTAGATCCTGGTCCTGACTCAACCTTCATATTGTCATCTTTCTCCTTACTGGGTGCCTTAGAGGGATCCCTTGGCCTATGAAGCAAATAGTGATGGGTCTCATTGCAACCGTCTATATTACATTGTCTGTTCCATTTGCAGGCATTTCCTAAGTGATTGTCACCAAGGCAACGGTAGCACAAACCTAACTTCTTTGCCATTTTCCACTTGTCTTCTATTGACTGATCTCGATATTTTGTACACTTCCAAATAGGGTGGATCTCTGTGCAAACTTGGCATTTCTTGACTCTTTTGTCACCTCCATCAACTGGTTTTCCATAGAAGGTCCGTCCGCCTCGACCGGAACCACTTCCGCTTCCATCGACTCTTTCTGCTCGTATCTTCCGAAACCCATGCTTAATTTCTGAGGCCTGAATTTGGTACTCAGCTTCTTGGGAAATCCAATCCTTTAATGTCTCCATGGATTCTTCCTTTTGTTTCTCTCTTAGCCATCTGTAGTATTGGGAGAGTAATTTCTCCGGGATCTTCTCAAGAACAATGGTGTATAAAGTTCCGGCTTCAAGATCCGCTTGTCTACCATTCTCTTTGAGGCAAATGACAGCCCGCTCTAAAACATCTGCAAAGATTTCCAATTCTCTGGCATTTTCCTCTTGTAATGGTTTCAACTTTTTTAATTCTTCTAAATGACTCTGAACCTGTCTCCGACTACCACCATACTTTCTCTCCAATCTAGCCCTTGCAGCATTGTAAGCTTCTTGCGAGTATCCAAGTCCCCTAACTGTATCGGCTGCTTCTCCTCGTAAACATGATTCCAGTCTAAGCATTTTGAACTGTGGACTCAATGACGTTTTATCTACACAGCTAGTAAAAGCGGCATTCCATTGTTGAAACTTCATTTTGTCTCCTGTAAAAATAGGAATTCGAATTCGCTCCAAATGTCCATCCACTCTGCGAGCACTTCCACTTTGTGAAGTCGTGTTTAATTCCGATTGGCTATTGGACGACTCAGACGACTGTGTTCCAATTCCATTGTCAACAAATGTAGTGTTGTTTCCACTTGATAATTGTTCATGTGCAATGTTACTGTTTACTTGATGTGTCTCTTGCGGCAAACTGCTATTCGATTCAGTTTGTACTCCATCATTTTCCAACAAGGGTGTTTCCATATTTTCTGTAGTAATAATTTCCTGGGCCAGCTGTTGTGTATTGGTCGGTTGAGATTCAGTTGCCATAGCAACATTGTTTTTTAAATGCACAGATTTCTTGACTAACTATAACAAAAATTGACGTGAGGCATGTGTTTCAACATCCACTTGCTCAGCTATTTTGTCCGATTCATCACCTATTCTTAATGCGTTTTGTTTATCCCCACTTTTCTGGTATGCTTCCTCAAGCTTATCTAATACCTCCAAACAAATGTCTTTCTGTTCATCGATTTTAACCAATAAATCGCATATATTCTCTCGATTAGGGTTTTCCTCTGACAACAAACAGGATAACTGTGTTAACAAACGTGTCAACAACGATTTTGCATTTCGTTTCTGCTTCTTGAAATCCGATATAACTATTACCACCGTCTCTTGAGCCTCGTTCTCAGTTGTTTCTGTATCACTCATTTTTCCCCACGATAATGTTCACAATATACAACCAAAATACAATCCAAAATGTACTTACGATTGTCGAATTTCCTTTAATTCCGATGAAAATCCAAATTTTCTTGTTTGCCGATGATGCAACAAGTCCAATAGGACAAAAAAATAAAACCAATATATTTACGTATTTTTACCCCTCGATATTTACTCGAATTTCCCTTGAAATTCTACAATCCGACTGTCGAAGGACCAAAAATGTAGTCGAGACCTACATTTACGTGCTGGTTCACTAAACATTCACTCATTTCATAGTTTTTTAAAACAAATATTTAATAAAAACGATAAATAACAACTTCAACGCGGCCATGTGTTTTCCGCCATTTTTTCCGTCTAATTAATGTACTTTATGTCGCCAAAATGGCGTTAGTTTGTCAACTGTTCGTTTTCGCTCCGACAGTAGTTTTTCGCGTTTTTTGCCTTGGCTACGTTTCTGACCGGGCCAGTTTTACAATCACAAAAATAGAAGCATACAAGAAGAATTTTGAGCAAAAAATTTGGAGTATTATGGCTTTATAACGCCACGAAACGGGATTTACAATTTTGAAGGAGTGGAGAGCCTCGGACTTTGTTTATCAACACGAGCTCGTTTTGCTACTTTCATACAAAATCAAATCAAACTATACAAGAATTTTACTGTTACTGGACGAATATTTTCGGGAAATTTGAAGAAATGAACCAGCTACATTGTAAACGAAAGCGTACAGAGGTTAGTTTTAAAATACCTTGAAGCTACTTTTATAATTATATGAACATTAAGGAACAGTTTTAAATGTCAACTTTGTCAAGAACATTCCCTCGACTTGTCGAGAAATTTTATATGTTTTAAAGTAGGAAGGCAAGTGACAATCAAATATTTTTTAATTCAAATTAACAATGACTCAATATAATGTTATTTTAAAAAATAACATTATATTGAGTCATTGTTAATTTGGATTAAAAAATATTTGATTGTCACTTGCCTTCCTACTTTAAAACATATAAAATTTCTCGAGAAGTCGAGGGAATGTTCTTGACAAAGTTGACATTTAAAACTGTTCCTTAATGTTCATATAATTATAAAAGTAGCCTCAAGGTATTTTAAAACTAACCTCTGTACGCTTTCGTTTACAATGTAGCTGCTTCATTTCTTCAAATTTCCCGAAAATATTCGTACAGTAACAGTAAAATTCTTGTATAGTTTGAGGTGATTTTGTATGAAAGTAGCAAAACGAGCTCGTGTTGATAAACAAAGTCCGAGGCTCTCCACTCCTTCAAAATTGTAAATCCCGTTTCGTGGCGTTTATATATAACCTGAAGTTCAGGCCCTAATTTGAAATAGGGCCTGACACAATCTCGTTCCCAGAGTATGCCTGTTCGCGGGTTAGGCACTACCTAACCCGCAAACAGGCATACTCTGGGAACGAGATTGGGCCTGACACAAAACCTGTCTAGACCGTGGGACGCCCACATGTTATTTTTAGACACAACATGCAATATGATTGACAAGTGTTGTAGATTTCGCTACACAAAAAAATTATATTCTCATGAACATGTCCGCCGAGCAGAGGGCAATTGATAAAACTAGAATAGTGAAGCGAATAGTGCGAATAGTGCGAATAGTCGACGAATAGTGCGAATAGTCCGCGAATAGTCCGCGAATAGTCGACGAATAGTACGAATAGTCCGCGAATAGTCGACGAATAGTGCGAATAGTCCGCGAATAGTCGACGAATAGTGCGAATAGTCCGCGAATACAGTGGCGTAACGTTATATCAGGGGGCCCCCGGTTCAAAATTTTCGAAGGCCCCCCTAGTAGACGTACCAAAGGCACGAGTCGAGCGCCGTATATGCACGAGTTTTCTAGGGGGTCCAGGGCATGCTCATCCGGAAAATTTTTGAATCTAGACTCTCTGAAATGCCATTTCCTGGACTTTGGGGAGAGATTTTACAGAATTCTGATGGTCATAAAACGACATTGTAACATATCAGAGGCCCTGACCAATGTTTTTGCTCTATCGCCTAAGCCTGGGGGCCCCCATTTGGGTTGGGGGCCCCCGGGTTCTCCCGGTCTGAGACCATAGTAGTTACGCCATTGCGCGAATAGTCGACGAATAGTACGAATAGTCGACGAATAGTGCAATAGAGAATTTGCAAGGCTTTCCACCACTGAGCTTTCCACCGTGCTGTAGAACTAAATTTACCGAAGCGGGGGGGGGGCTCTATTGACAAACATGAAATCGTGAAAACATTCGTTGATGTCAATGACGTCATACGTAATCGGTAAAAATTACGGGACCACTGAGTTTTAACAAATATTTAACAGGAAGTAGAATGACAATCAGTGGCGCCGTGGGACCCATGTTTTTTTTTGGGGGGGGGGCAAGGGCAGTACTTTTCCGACAAACCGAAAAATTTTTCCGACAAACCAAAAAGTTTTCCGGACGACAACATTTTAAATCTTCACCCCCCGTCGACAACTTTGACAATTTCCGACAGCCTTGACAATTTTCCGACAATTTCCGGCAGCATTGGCAATTTTACGACGGGTGTCAACAATAGGGGAGGGCCATGCCCCCCCCCCGGCCACGGCGCCACTGATGACAATCACTAGACGTATGACGTCATTGACGTACGTCGACGAATGTTTTCACGATTTCATGTTTGTCAACAGAGCCCCCCCCCGGTAAATTTAGTTCTATAGCACTGCTGCAAAGCCTTGCAAAGTCTCTATTGCACTATTCGTACTATTCGTCGCCTATTCGTGGACTATTCGTACTATTCGTCGCCTATTCGTGGACTATTCGTACTATTCGTCGACTATTCGCGGACTATTCGCACTATTCGTCGACTATTCGCGGACTATTCGCACTATTCGTCGACTATTCGTACTATTCGTCGACTATTCGCACTATTCGCTTCACTATTCTAGTTTTATCAATTGCCCCGAGCAGAGTGTGCATTTTGCTTTTTAATTAAACTTAAAAATTCAAGGTACTTTTATATAAATAAGATTCAGACAAAGATTTAATTAGTCAGTTCTGTGCACGGCTTGACTGCCAAGCTTTCTCAAGGTCTCAACTGAGGGTCCTGAAGGGGTAAAATGGGAACTGGGATTGATCTAATTTTAGACTGGGAAAATGGGATTTGGGTTGCTGGGACTGGGATTTGGCCACTGGGAATGGGAAATGAAGACCTCAAAAATTGGAATGGGATTGAGGTAATGCGAGTCGATTCCCAATTTTTCTACATTTTAAATGTTTTAAAATACAATTTTGATCCGTTTTCGGTGTCTTTGGTCATGATTTTTGTTGTTAAGAGGCGGACCATTAGAAAAGTGATGGGGCATTTTCAACGTGCACGATTTGTTTTTCAAAAATTTTTGCTGTGTTTATTTTTTTAAATAATCCTTTGCCTGATTTTTTTTAATTTGTTGGCGAGCGGGGGGGGGGGATGGTGTTGAACAAAAAAGGGTCAAAAAAAATTTTTTCGGACTGACTAACATCGTTTTAGTTTGGCGAGCGGGAGGGAGGGGAGGTGAAAAATTTACACTGTACCTCCGATAGGCCCTGTAATTTTCCCTATTGAAAAGTCTCTGCACGAATTTTTTTTTCAAACATTTCTGGTGCACGATTTTTTTTCTTTCTATTTTCCCTGCTCGATTTTTATTTTTGCTTTTGCCCCATCACTTTTCTAATGGTCTATTATTCACAGCACTACCTGCGAACAGGCATACTCTGGCGCCCGGAATTCTGGGTTTTCTGATTCTGCGTGTCTCAATGATGCAAATGCCATTTCCGGGATTCAAATTTAAAAATTTTTTGTGCCTTTGGCACATGCTCCCCTCCCAATATTTCATAAAGTGTCCACCACTTGCACACACGGTGAAGGTCTTAAAACTGTTTATTCTACCGATAAATAAAGGGTTGTTTATTGACTGGGATTTCAATAACTCCAGACCTGCCAAGTCTCACGATTTAATCGTGAGACTCACGATTTTTTATGCTTTCTCACGATCTCACGATTAAGTCCCCAAATCTCACGATTTTCGGAACTTATGAAATCATCGAAGAGCGCAACATCTAGTTACAATTAGGCACACTCTTCCAAGGAAACATCACACTTTATTAGTGTATTAATAATGCGCATTGTTATATACCTAGCGTGAACACCAAACGTGATTGGCTGATTTGTGGTCACGTGACTTCAGATAAATGCAATGTTTCCCGCCGGGCAACAAGTGAAAAATTATTGCCCGCCCCGACCGGCCACGTACATAAATAAACAAAATGGAGGCACAACTCAGATAATTAGAAACTACGATTTTCCAAGTTTGTGTTCAAATAAAGAATATAAAAGAGAAGGAAAATACACAACAGGCAACAGGATATGCTGCTGAAACCGTTTAAGCAGGTTCTTTTAATTTTAAACTCGTTTACACTATAGAGTTTTCGTCACGAAATACAATTGTTGTATGAATGTTGTTGAAGTTGATTTTTGTTCGTCGCTATATAACAAAACACTTAATGCCTGTTCCCTCGGGAAATAGTTAGTTTTGTTTCCCTCGAATCTTAATGTTTCCCTCAACTTCGTCTCGGGAAACATTGAGATTCTCGGGAAAACAAAACTATTTCCCTCGGGAGCAGACATTAAGTGTATAATGGATCGTGACTAAAACACCACATTAGTACATACGAGTAACATACGAGTAACACGCAGGTACATACGAGTACATACGAGTAACAAACGAGTACATACGAGTAACATACGAGTACATACGAGTAACATACGAGTACATACGAGTAACACACGAGTACATACGAGTAAAACACAAGTACATACGAGTACATACGAGTAGAATACGAGTAAAATACGACTAGTAAACTTGTTTTTAGTGTTTTTAGATTGAATACAGGCAAAAAGATCGTCTTCTCTGTCGAAAAACGTGACATAGACTGAAACCGGCTATCTTTAAAACCCGGAACGGGGAATGGGGGGACGGGGAATGGGAGAACGGGAAGTGGGGGAACGGGGAACGGAGGGAATGGATGGGCGAGGGGGGGAGGGAGGAAATAGGAGACAGGGGGCGGGGGAGGTCTGCCAGATTCTATAAACCACAACTTTGTAGTTTGTACAACATCTACTTTTAGGTATTTCACCTAGATAGTTAGATACATGACACAAACCATAGGCTTCACATACTTCACGGCATGGTTTGCTTTCAAAACCCTGTGAGCATGCACAAAACCTAACTCGCTAAGGGAAAGTGCATTTATTACACCTAGGGAGGGGGATGAAGATGTCTTGAAAAAAGCTCATATTTTTACAGGGCCCCTGTGGAGGTTATCGGTAAATTTCGATGCCCCCCTCCAAGTTTTTAAAATTTTCAATGCCCCCCCCCCTCTAGAATTCGGAATCGAAGGAGTACAATCCGGAATTCTCTCTTATCATCGATACAATTTGCAGTTCCTCAAGATGTCTGATATACTCAAGCATGTGCTTCTCCTCAACAAAACTACCGATCTGCTGCTTCTTTCACCTCACTAGCGCCAGATGAAATGGCACCGTCTTTAAAACATTTTAAATTGGCTCTAGGGGTGAAATTATCAACAGGTTGTTGTCCATCATTCAGCGTATTCGGAGTCTTGAACACGTTCATGTAGTGGCCAGGATTTCCTGGATCAGGGTAATGTGCTGGAACCTTACAGTATGTTGCCCCCACCCAACGTATCTCCTGGCATCTGTTGCAAATGTCTTTGCATGCCTGTCAAAAATGCATGCAAAAGTGTGCCAGTATGCTTCAATTTCTTTAATTTCCATCCCGTTTGTACGAAATATCCCATAAACATAGAACATATCATTCTTGCAAATTGTATATGCTTTTTTTCTTTTTGGCGCGTAAATTACTTCACAAACCTGGCGCAAAAAAATTTAAAATAAGCTATAGGTGATTTCATGTATCCATTTAGAAGAGCAGACTAAGGATATCTTAAAACTGAAATCGGTTTCGAATACAACCATCAGGGACGTAGCAAAGCATCTGACGTTTGGGGTGGGGGGATGTCAGAGG